CGTCTGTAAAAGCGAAGCACTGCTGAGTTAGCTGTGGTCATCGGATTTCTTATGAGTTATGCAGCGCTATTCTATTACTGACTATTAGACAGACATCTTCTGCCGCTCAGAGAAAACAACTACGCATATCTCAGAGCGCTGCGTGCGAGTGAAAGGTGGGGGGCAATGGGTTAGTAACAGAAACACGTTATTGGTTGGATTTTAATTGGTATGTTTTGCATCCAGTGAAAACAAAGATATTAACAAATAAAGTGGACAGTATGCTGTACGTTTAGTGATATTTTCACAGTTGCGGTCTTGACTGGTCTTGAAATAAAATGCCGAGTCCTCAGCCCCCGAGACCGAGACAAGACCGAGACCAAATGCGGAATGGTCTCGAGACCGGTCACGAGACCAAGACCGATCTCGAGTACTACAACACTGGTATTCACTCTTTGGGCAAATTCACCATCTGCATAATTCTTGTCAAGTCGTATAAGATACCTTATGCAAAAAAGCTTATGCCAGCATGCCTAGGTGGGACCCATGTGGGGGAAAGGAGGGCTGATATATGGGTCCCATATGGGTTTGTCCACGGGTTCCACGATGGCCCCAGATGTGTTTGCCCATGTAGGGCCACAGCCCACACGGGCCCTACATGGACAAACCCATGTGGGCCACCACCATATAGGGCCCATGTGTGCTGTGGCAAACACATGTGGGGCCATCGTGGAACCCGTGACAAACCCATATGGGACAAAATATGGTCTGCCCTCCTTTTCCCCAAATGGGGCCCACTTAGGCATGCTGGCAGGGACGTTATTGGTTGGATTTTAATCGGTGCGTTTTGCATCCACTGAAAGCAAATATGTTAAATAAACTGGACAGTATGCTGTATGTTTAGTAATATTTTCACAGTTGCGGTCTCGACTGGTCTTTGAAATGAAATGTTGAGTCCTCAGCGCCCGAGACCATCAAAAAATGGTCTCGAGACCAAGACCAATCTCGAGTACTACAACACTGATATATATATATATATATATAAAGTGAACACAAATGCCGATTTTCATTCCTGGCTCTACTGTTGGGTTAGCAATGACAAGGAGAAACTTAGCTAAGATATTATGGTACTGAAACACCACCGAACAGCTGTTTAGAAAAGGAACACAGACATGAGTGTCTGCATATGTTTTTATGTCTCAGGGACTCACTGTCATAGTATTCATAGATAGACACAGCAGCTGGCTGCAACATGCCCACTTTGACCTCCTGATGGATCCTGAAAGAGATCATCTCTGGCTGTGTGTTAGAAACCTGTGGAGGATTTAGCCAACAAAGGTAAAGCTGTGGAGTTAGATTCATGGTAAGTGCAAGAGGAATTAATAAAACCATGTAGAATTTGCCATTTTGTCCAACAAGAATCCCATTTTGGGCAATTAAGGTTTTGTTGAAAATTCCTCCTCAATGTGAATGCCTAAGTCTCTTTTTGAACTACTTTCAACAGACTCTACTACAAACATCCGAAACTCTGTGCAGGCATCTTTATTAAAAGCTCTGTAAACTCGATAACAATGTTAGCAAAAACCTTTGAGCTACATTTGCCAAGATGGAAAATGTAGCTAATAATAGTTAAATGACAAATGACGTATTTGACATAAGGCAGACAGCTTCACATTTTTGGTTGCATGCTAAAAATGTCCATATCACAAACGATAAGGATTGGAGACACAGTACAGTACCTCACATTTTAATTAAATAATAATATTTTTATGCAAGGCTGTGATATGCAGATGTTTTATCCAGTGAAATTGACCCATCCCAGTTCCTTGAGGTGGCTGTTAGTCTGTATAATTTATATATGTTTGTTGACCATTTGCTGGTACTCATAGATTAAGTGTAAAGCATTGTCAACTATCAGCCCCTAGTGGTCAGCCAGAAATTTTAGAAGAAAAAATCCACAAAAGTGACTTTCTATCCTGATGCAGTGCAATTCTGTTAATTATGCTCCCTTCATTCCCAACACACATGCACAATGAAAAACAAGGGTGAATCGTAGCTGAAGCAAATATGTCGTATGTGACAAGACTTGACTGAAAATGTCATTCTCTTCCTCAAGTATATGCCCAGATAAAATGTGTTCTTTGGCATGTCAAGATTCAGGGAACCATAAGAAAGTGTGTGACAGCACCTTGAGTCTTAGCGTGGATATTTTTACTCAAGTGACCAAATCAGAAATCAAATTAGAAATACTTTCACAGATCTCAGGAAGGTCAACACCCTTTATATGATTATACAAAAACAAATACAGCCAAAAACTTGTTCAAGTCTAACTGGAGGATGCAGAATGAGTTTTTAATAGCAAAGTCACTTCATGATTTACTTTGAGGAATATGTGATAAGTTAGGTGAGATTATAGACAACTGATTAGTGTTCTAGTTCAATCTTTAAAATCTAGTTTAACCACTCTCTTATACAAAGTAAAAGACAAAAGTGTAACTTACCCTGTCGAGGTAAATGATCAGTGAGCCTTTATCTGTCAAAATTTTGTCAATCTCATACTTTGAAAAAAGGCGTGAGGGTCCTTTTGACATCTATACACACAAAGATTACATCATGAAAAGAAATAAATTTACTGTAAAATACCATGACTATGTTTGTGTGCATATAAGCTCATACTTTGTCCAGGTCTTCTTTATCAAAATTGAACCCAGTTGGCAAACCGATATCCAAAATAGACATTGTTGCATTGCGTTCTCTGCTCTTAAAGCTGCATAAGTGAAAAATAAAAACACACCACTTTAAACTTTTTTTCAGAAAAATAACATCTACGTCTCTGGATAGCATCCTGAAATGAACATGATTTTAGAAATCAAACAGTGTTCATTACTCTTGTAAAAAAAAAAAATCCATCCAGGGACATTTAAACAAAGTGCTTTTAAAGAAAATAGACATCGAACAAATGCGACTTTAGTGTTTATGACAAAAAGCATGATTTTAACCCTGGTTAGCAACGGTTTCAGGTTCTACTCACAAAAATTCTAGCGTCAGCCTGTATGAGCTCTTCTCATTATTGCTCGGTTCTGAAAGAGTAAATATGGAATAAATATTGGTTTGCTCTAAAAACAATATAGACAACTCAACAAAACGCCCTTCACCACAAAACCAGAAAATCAAGCATAAATAATTTACCTGCTGTAAGCTCCACAGTCAGGTTGAACATTGTGCAGTCATTTACATCTTCTTTAGGCATTGCGTAATAGAATGATACCATCTATAGGACAAATTATTTTTAAAATAAGTTTAGGTAAATGATAAATAAACATTTGATAAATATTGTCATTAGGTAACGTCTGTTTTCTTGACATATTGTTATATATAGCTATGTAACATATAATTATGTAGCTTTAAATATCATAGCTATATATATAGCTATGATATATTACATAGCTTTTGACTTATAAACTTCATAAGTCAAAAGCTCTTTAAAAGCAGAACAATATGAATGTTTCAGTAATTGAATGAGTCGAAGTTGTTGAATTCCTCCTTGGTTTTGATTCAGCAACACCAATATCCCGACTGGTGCTCTGTTTTATCTCGGGCACTTTAAATCTGGTCGACTGGTGCGTGGGTGATTGTGTGTTTAGAAAATCAATTGGATAAGATGTGGTGGCATTTCAAAGCCTTCAAGCAAAAAATATTTACATATTCAGTTAGATGTGAATACAGTTGTATCTCAATAAAATGTTAAAAATAGAATGTCACTGAAGATGTTATTTTTCACTAATTCAATCCGAATAATTAAACTCTGTATAGCATAACTTGGGACACTCACTGGCTACTTTCTGAGTTACAACGCTCTCATACAGAGTTGGACTTCTTTTTGCCTTCAAAACTGCCCCAGTTCCTCCTGACATAAGTTCAACACAGTTTCAGAAGTATTGCTCAGGTATTTTTGCTTTGCGTTGAAACTAATCATGCATTTGCTGCTGATTTACATCCTACATTCCTTATGTGCCCTGTTGAATTAAGAACTGGAGAGCCTGCTGAAAAAGAGTGAAACCATTATCTTATTCAAGAAAGCATAGCAATCAGGATATGTGTATTCTGTGACATAAAAGGGGTGTGCATGGTCAGCTAGAGCTATTATTTGATTAAGGGGCAAGAAGTGTGCAAAGAGAATATCCCAGACACAATTAGAAGGTCAGATCTGTTTTCTTCTTAAAACGCCCTCTTATGCTGTCTACGTATTCAGCAAAACATTTGAATAATTAAAAATAGAAATGGACCAACTTCATGTTTACCTTCAAAGTAGCTTCCCCTGTTCCTGTGGCTGTAACTTTTACATCCTTGTTTATGCCTAGAAACTGTCAAGTGGGCAAATAATAGTTAACATTGAATACATCCCATTACAATGCTGGTAATCATTAAAACCTTTAGAAAGCAACGATTATACTGAAATACATGTCATAACTGAAGCTTTGGTTTTAGCTGCTGAAGCACAATTAATTGAACCAACACAAGAAATATAAATATGCATGTACAGTAATATGAAAAAAACAACAAAAAAACAATGAGGATGGACCAAAAAAAAACAAAACCCTTTCATAACAGCTTACGTAAATGCAGAGTTAAAAGCTGCAACAGTCTTTATCTCACACATTGCCTTGCAAAAGTACTGAATTGAATGACTGTTCACTGCTAAACTTCTTGCTTATTCCATGTAACAAGCAAATGAATTGAGTCAAGCTGCCATTTTCAGGTGATACATAAACCATGCATTTTCTAAACACCAAGAAATCCAAACACACTTAGAGATCCTAAAAATCACAGAAGGGACATAATCTCATAGAAAGGGAGCAAATCAGTTGTGCATAAACATATGTTTGTAAAACAAAATGAACTGAAACAATGTTGTCAAAAGGAATGGGCCAAGATTTCTCCCCAGCACTGTGATACACAAACATATACTTGAAAATATGAACATATTCCTACCTTGTTGGATTTTGTTGCATATTGACTTCCTTGGAAGAAATTATACTTGAGAAGATTTGACCTGCCTGGTAAGGTAATGTCCACATTCAGATCATATTTAGGTTCTTCAGCGTTTGCCCAGTACTCTGCTACAGCCTGGTATACCATAATTGTGGCCTGGAGAATCAGGGCCATGTTACCAACAGATGACCACCATGCTAACAAACCAGACTCAATACAGATATTTAAGTTGAATGGAGAAAACTTCAGTGTTACCTGTGTTGATCCATAGCCTCCTTCAGACTTTTGCTGTTGGCTGAGCCATCTTACGATAGGTTTTGCCTCTGTAAAGGACTTTGAATAAAAGACAAAAGCCTTTAATGTTTAAAAAAAACAAAAAACTAAAATAACTATGTTACTGTATTGGATATTACAACCACTACATGACTGAAAGAGCGATGGCCTCACTAATAAAGTTACTAAAGCTCTAGGGTCACACAGGAAGATGATAAGTAAATAGTTTTAGCAACTCAAGTATATCATTCACTTTTCTGCAAACACTCTGGCATATGTCACTGTAAAGATGTGCTCACCCTGTTGTTGACAAGGGCAAGAAGAGCATATGCAGTCGCTTCCAGTGTGTTTTCATGGGTTGTGGATGAATTCCAGTGGGATTTGTCTATGAAAGAAATACCCAAAAAGCCCAAGTCATTACACTATACTTGATAAATAATGATCATAAAATAAGCCGATGTTTGGTTAGCACTACCTGGAGCAGCATACTGGTAGAGAATATCTTTGTTCAGCTTATTTTCATTCGCCAAAGCATATGACGTTATTGCAACAGCATAGGGGTTGGTTAGTTGAGGAAGATGTTGTTCCAGGTAAGTTACTGATTGGTAAATAACATCATTCAGATCCTACAAAAAAGACAGAATAAAATGTGATGTTGTACTTTCAGCCTTAGTTTCTTGATTGCATTGCCATATTGTGCTATAAATAATTGTGGCGAGGTAGCTACTTGAATGTCAGAACATATTGATCGGGACTCTTGCATGGCAATCAGGCAAAAAGCTTTCATGGAGGCATGTGAATCTCTACCAGCCACATCACCCTACAGACGAGAACAGGTATAATACAGATATGTATTAATTTGGTTGATTTCTCTGTTTTTTGCTTCATACAAGATTTAAGGACTACTTTAACTAAATCAAAAAACTTACAATCATTTCAAAATGGTACATATATCCATCCTCCTTAAACATTCCAGCAGAGTTCTTTGATTTGAGAATAAGAAATTGAATAGCCCCGCAGATTACGTTTTTGTCCACTTCCACAAGACCATGGGCAATAGCAAAGACCTTGGCAACATAGGCAGTCAACCTAAAAAGTGTCAAGAACACAGCAGGTTTATTTTATATTCAAAACCAATTAGTACAAAACCAATAATTGCAAACATTTGTGAGTTATAAAAACAGGTTCCTTACCAAGTGCCACTTGAAAAATAAGGAAATAGAGCAAATCCGCCATCATTGTTACGGTAAGCAAATTCTTTTTTGTAACCTGCATAAAAGAAAAATGTTAAATATTTGATGACAGGTATTAAATCTTCATCAGCTATTAAATCTACAAAGTCACTATTAGTGGTTAAGTGATGGTTCTGTAAATATCTGTATATTTCTTCATTCTGATGTTCACAGAAAGATATAATTGATGAGCGTACCAATTTTGATGTGTTCGAGAGCTTCCGTTCGTTTCTGAAAGCCTACAGCTTCCCATTGGTTGGTTTTGTCTAGATACAACGTAGCAATGACCGGCAGGGTCATGGTGATCATGTTCTGCTCTCCACAGCCTCCAGGTGCTTTGATCAGTGTTCCCATGGATTTTCCACTAATAGCATTCTCCAATAGTGAACTCATCTGTTCCCGTCCTTTGTGAGCAGGAGAGGTTCACAAACATTCTTAAATTATTTAGAAATAAAACAAAATTAAGCTGACTTGCCCTCCTAAAAGCATTAAGCACACACTGCAGGCGGCTCAGACAAAGGTGGAATATGAGCTTTGCAGGTAAACCAATAATAAAAATGTTTAGCTAATATTTCAATGTAAAAATACTGTTATCCCATGTGGATCACTTTGTGCTTAAATACTGTGTAACTTTCTTTGTATTTTTCTTCCTGTTTACGGTGTCTTACCTGTGACAAAGATGTGTGTATTCAAAGGTGTGCCTGGAACAAGCTCTGTTTCAGAAATCTCACTATTTATAGTTACGTCTTGTCTACCACCTAATAAAAGAAACATTTATTAAATTAAAGGAATTTGGTAGATTTTTTAAATTGCTTTCATTTTGAGGGCACACTTACCAACACCTTTCTCAGCAGGGGCAAGTAGTACATTTCTAACGGATTTCTTCAATACACCTTTAGGCTGCAAAAATAGTGAAGTAATCCAAACAACAATGTGAATAAAAAACAAAAATCTTCAGAGACAGAACATCTTCAGAATTTGAGAAAAACAGTTCTAATAAGGCATCCTAAACTCAGAAACTACACTAGTCTTTCTCACTTACCACAACCCGCAATTTTCTCTCAATTCCGTCTGAGAGGTTTATGTCTGAATCTATAACAGCTGCTTTAACCGTAATTTTGACTTCCCCTTCCTTCATTGGGATAATAATGAATGGTACAGCACGTGTAGTTTGGGCCCCAACTCTAACTTGCTGCTGAAACCTTTGCCGCTTATAGGCTGCGCTACACACATCTTTTTCTTCAAGGAGGTCCACACGTACCTTAAAAGAAACAACAAGAACAAAAGTAACAAAAATGTAATACTGTTTTCAGTACAGTATTTTGCAGTTGCTATGGTATATTGTAAATAATCTTTGAAATAAACTAAGATTATCCTGTCAAATAGGTATTTTGATGACATATTTGATGTTCAGTTCATACATCTTTTCACCGTGTCCTTTGTAGCTCTGACTAAAATAGAGGTGTTCAGGCTGTAAAGTTCAAGACATACTCACACTGACGGGATCATCATGGTAGTTATGTAAAATTGCTTTAATTTCAAGTTGTTCTCCATGGACAGCAGAGTACGGTAGCCTGAGGTCAATGAAGAAAGGTTTTTTAACAATGACCTCTAATGGCTCTGCCACACAGATACCTTAAAAACAGAAAGGAGGACAAATTTGGAAAAAAAAATGATAAAAACAATATATGAATGGAAAATTGTACAGCAACCTGTATACTGAAGAATTAATTTAGCACATGAATAAAATATTTAGTTAAACCCTCATTATGTAACTTTTATAACAACTATGTTTTTTTCATATTTATTACATATCTCCCTATGCCGTGACAGTATGGTATGAGACAGATAATCTGTGAATAATAATAATAATAATAATAATAATAATAATAATAATAATAATAATAATAATAATAATAATAATAAAAATCAAGCTTCTCATCCTCCCAGTGGTCCTACAGCCATCTGCAGAGGTGCACTGCTCCTGGTCAGAAACAACCAGAAGCCAGGAGGAGTCTCTAAGAGCTTTCAATCATGCAAATTGTGTATTTGCTGCTTAATGTGCCAATGGCAAAGAAACAACTTATATTACAGGAAAACTGTTAATCCACCATCATCAGTGGCCTCTCAACAGAGAGTAGCATAGCAGAGAGCAAGGGGGAGGGTCGCCAGGATGATTGACAGCGGTAAGACCCTCCTTATGGCACTAATTAGCTTTTTCTGACATAACAGTGTATTTTTCAGAGTAGCACAATTTTTTCAGATTATCTGTCTTATACTTTATTGTCACAACATAGTGAAACATATAAAAATTATTTTTATTAAAGTTGCGTACTATTGCTGTAAGTCAGGGGTCCCCAAACTATGGCCCGCCTCCTCATTTTTTCCGGCCCCGAACAATACCAGAGAGCATTCAGATTTTTTTTTCACTTATTGTATTTTCCGGTTTATATGTGGATTTTTCTTCAACCACTTCTTTAGCAGGAAGTGTGTCCTGTAAACTGTGGGTGTTTTGTTTTGCATGGCGCATTGCTGCCATCTGTTGGACTTTTGGGGAACTGCTTGACTTTATGTTATTTAATCAGTTGCTAGCGGTAGAGCAGATCAACACACGTGTCTGTTATGAACGCCGCATTCCAGGTTGAATTCTTCGAAGCAATGCCTGTAAGTAGCAACTTATACTTCAAAACAAGCCTTTATGTTAACATAGGAGAAATTAATATATTATAGATACATTCCCTGAATGGAATATATAGTAGTTAGTCCCAGTGACCGTTTCACTTATGGTTTTTGCCCATGTGCTTTCTTGGTAAAAATCAATCAAGAAACGCACCCACTCCCCCCTTCAACAATTTCCGGCCCCCCACCAGAGAAGGGAAAAGTTATGTGGCCCTCACAGGAAAAAGTTTGGAGACCACTGCTGTAAGTGGTAAAACTTTACTGCTTTTAAAGCTTTAGTAGATTCCAGCTATGTGTGTTAATGTATTAGCATTGCCTACATGTTTTTTTGATCATTTTTTTCTATCCATTTTTTGTGGACCTCAAGTGTCGAACCTGTGTAGGGTTTCATAATTCCCTACACAAAAATAAATTTGTATCTAAACTTTAAGACTCAAACGTGAATTTGGTTCTATACTGACCACATAATTATTCTACAGAACAACATGCACATTGAAATTGGTATTAAAATATTCAAACTGATCTAAAGTAAATGAAGGAAAAATTAAATATGGAGATTTACAGCATCCAGTGATAAGAATGAAATATCTAGAATTTGACTTGTTTTGTTAATATTGAACCTGGATGAAACAAACAGATTAATGAAATTGATCAAATTCAGTTCAGTCATATAAAATAAATATTTAAATGAACTAAGGTTCTGAAAAAAAAAGCAAAAGATAAATATATATGTATTGGGAAAAAAAAAAACCCAGCTCAGGTTCTCACCGTGAGTGTTTGACAAACTAATTCCAGTCAGCTGCCATGTGGTGATAGAGTCAGGCAATGCATATTTTTTCTTAAAGACTGTGCTGCCACTGGAATAAAAACACAGAAATCCCTTTAATAAACATTGATGTGGAACTTTCTGTTCTTGCGTATGTTTTTTTGGTGGTTCTCTCACCAGTTTGGATCTTGCCCAGGGCATCCAGGTAATGTGATATCATACCAAAGCCAGCTTTCAGGGAATTTGCTTCGTGTTGTTATTTTGTTACTCATGTAATAATCATCCACCTCACCTAAACACAAAAATATGCACTGGTGAAATGGTTATTGAGAGGCTGTGGGCATAATATAACAATATTATGACTAAAACAAACCCACCCAAACCCTTTCCCACTTACTACGGGCCAAATGAAGTATTTCTTCTCTTCGCTTAGCGTGCTCTTTTTGTATCTCATTACAACAGTGCAAGAAAGCTGTAACACAATCTGGGCCGTCCAAAATGTAATTGCTCCGCCTCTCACATGTGTATGCAACAGGGATGTCCTTCATGCCATCCAGACAGCACTCTCTTTTCAACTTTTCAGTTTGATTATATGTGTTTACTGTTGGGAAAATGAGATTTAATGGGAAGAAAATATGGAGAAAACATAATAAAATGTACAAAACAAAACAACAAAACACAACAATACATAAAAATGCTTCATGTTTTTCATGATAATAGGACAATCATGATCAATCTAATGTGCACCATAATTTAAAATACAGACTGTTCTTCAGATCAAACTTTAATCAGATGTTCACAAATGAGACAAAAATCTACTGAGCCTGACTCTCATTTCTTCTACTAACTAATAATCTGATCCATCATCCCAAATAGAAACAAGATCAGATACACTAATGCATTATGTCATCATGGATAAGACATTGCGTAAAGTGAAATCCAAAACGATCCAAACACTGGCAAGTTTAAAATTGTAATTGAAAAAGGGAAAGATGTCTTTTAAAAGGTTACAAAAGATGTAAATGGAGAATAAAATTTGCAAAAGATAACCTGAAATTTTAAGCAACTAATTCATCTTTCGAAAGGAAGACAGTTAATTAGGTAGGTAAGTAGGCATGTATGGATGTGGTTGGGTTGAGGAACTTAGGTTTTGCCCAGGTAGACATTGGAGGTTTGTGGTTTGGAGACTGGCTGCCCTGCTGGGGGCTCGCATGGCGCCTACAATCCTGGCTGGTTCTGCAAGTCTCTGTGTCTTAAGTTTTTGTCAGAAGGATTGCTTTGCTTGGCTAACCCAGATTCCTCCAGACTACCCTCACTTAGAGTGGCAGTCACTGTGTTGTGAGTCCCAATCCCCTCTTGACCAGGAACAAGAGGGCACCAGTTGTGGAGCCTCCTGGGGGACTCCCACTCTCCTGCCTAACATGTAACACCACAAATCAGTATGGTCTTGATAAGTGGGACAATGGACCTTGCAGGCATGGCAGAAGCACCATGCACCATCCGGTCCTCAATAAAAGTCTTCATGTGTACAAATTTGATGAGGAAGTTGTTGCCGTTATCTGTGTAGTTTCAAAATTTTATACTTTTTTCTTCTATTTGTCTATTATTTTAAACCGAAAGAAACATATGCAGAGCATAATTTTCAGTAGACCTAAAATGAGGAGGGAATAATAGCTACAACTTACCCAACTTGTTTATGACTTCTGAAATGGTGGTAGCTCGTTTCTGCCGGTGATGAGACTCACATTTTAAATCTGTAATTGCAAGATAAAATTTGCTGTTAAACAAAAAAAGGACAAAACTATTCTGCACAGTGTATGCAACATAATACATTTAAAACAAGGATTTAGTAATAAGGCATCTTTAAAACTACATCTTGTTATGCGTCTGACTTATCTAACGTTTGCCTAAGCACAGTTGTTCTAAACAAGCTGCTTGCAAATTATTTTCAATACATTGATTTTAAAAATCTTCTCATTTTAACAGTTGAAACACTGCTTTTAGAAAATAAATGGGTTTTTTAGATGTTATGTTGTTAATAGCTCCTTTAAGTGCTTCATCTATGAGAGAAACGGCTATATAAAGTCTGAGTCTGTAGTAAAAAATAAAAATATGAGCACATATATAAAGGAAGGGAGACCGAGGAACAAAATAAGTCTTGTTGCCAAGTTGGGTTTTTAGTTTCTACTCCAACACCTTGGGATCATGATGACAACCACCTGTCCTGTAGGGTGTCTCAAAAGCTGTGTTGGTCTTAAACAACAGTCCAGCATCAAAGAACACATTCCTGCTATTGCTCCCACCACCTGGACTGCAGCCTGTGTCGTACTGCTCAACCACATCCCAAATCTGAGCAAAGGAGAGGTTATTCAAATATTAAAAATATTTACACTTAATAATTTTACAACATGTTTGGCTGTTAGCCCTGTGATGATGCCCTTTTATTAAACAAGCCAGCTTCTTCAATACATTTTGAAAAACCAAATTTAAAGTGTGTTTAGGATCAATGTTTCTTAGGAACACTAAGTTGTGACCCTGTTTTTCTTCACAAAGCTGTTGATTTGTGAAGTTGACCATTTTAGACTAGTGTGTAAAAGTATGTAATTGGTTATAACAGGAAATTATTTAAGTTTAACTGTTTCATTATTGGGTTTTACAGTACAAGTGTGCTGTGTTACTGAAGAACTTGGTCAGTACTTTATGGAGCTTCTGTAATGTGCTGTTTTCTGTGGGGTTGTTTGCCATTTTTGCAAAAATAACTATGTTGCATTGGAGACAAGTTGGCCCATCATTTTCAGCAGAGAAAAATCACTATTCCATACTTCTACTTAAATGCTCTATTTCCATAATACATCAATGTAATGTGAACTTTACATTTTCCATAAATTCCATTTGAAAGTTAAATCTCTATATCTTTCTGGAGTTTCTGGACCGTACAAACTGTCATCCACAGTTTGTGCGGTCATCCACAAACTGTGGTTTGTCCTGCGGTCATCCACAGGACAAACTGAGCTAGTTGATCAGTCTCCCATTCCAGTTAATGAAAAATTATATGCTCTTTCCAAAAGTTATGTCTAAAATGAACAGCAAAAAGGCTCCTGAGCGTCTCTGTAGGTACACAGAAAACACAACACCTCCCTTTACCAAACACCAGTGAAGCAAGCAAGTGCTCCAGTATATATATATATATATA